TAGTAGTAGTAGTAGTAGTAGTAGTAGTAGTAGTAGTAGTAGTAGTAAGCAAGTTCACTCAGTTTTCATAAGGGATAATTCCAATTACTGTAAGTTATTCAGCAAACCTCCTGAGTCTAGAAAGCAGCCTGGGTTAAAACCTTGTTTCCGACCCACCTAAACTATTCAGGGTGTAGGGCCAGAACTTTAAGCTTGCAAACCACAACAAGCCCAAGCACATGTTGTTGGATTGACCATGCATGATGATTCATGGATTAACTGTTCTACTGTCCTATGTTTTGGTTGGTAGTGACCGGTGGATCTCATGCGGTGGCAACCCATGTCTTTTGCGGTTTCACAAGGCTGGCGGCTAAGACTGGAGTTGCCAAGCACTGGCCACCGATCCGTTTGGTGGTGAAGAATCGGTGAATCCTTTCATGACAAGCAAAACTAGGGGAAGTCTCCAACAATCACAGTCCCATGGGCAAAGCATATGACACAACTATACAATAAATATGTTATAACATGTTATGAATAGACATACATAGACATTTTAACATATATTAATGTGAATATGATATATATATATATATATAATATGTATAATCACTATCACTGTTCACTATCAGGCAATGATCACTATTTTAGAGAAAGGCCTGCAACTGAACCATCATCCACTGTTACAGGTCAGAGGATAGACCCAATATGAACCCTAGGGCTCCAGTCGTACCTCCTCAGAAGGTATGACTGGACCCTCCTGGCACCTACCCCAGTCCCACCTTCTCAGAAGGCACGACAGGAGCCCTAGGGAATACTCTCACTGTAGAACTAACATGCAAGTGGAATGGCACCACCTGTGGTGGATTTCATGGTCTTCGGAACTCGGGGTCAGGCCCTCCACGTCACCATGGGGCCATTCCAGGCGTCACCCGGAGCCCCAACTCTTGCGTCGAACCGCCGCCGTCGAACGAACGGCGCCCTTCGGCTCCCGCCGTTCGGCTCCAGTGGCCCGGTGCAAGACCGGGCACCGGGGATCCAGGGGGAGAGGATCCCCACGGTGCGCAGAGATCCAGGGCCTCTAGACCGGACCAAGAGATCCACAGCTTGGCTGGAAGAGCCAGGTGAGCCCGGAATGAAGGTGCTGGTGTGAAATGACATGTGTTGGAGGCCATGGCTTCTAGGTAGGTTGGAGGCCAGCTGCTATTAGAAGATATTAGAAGAGAGGAGGTCGAACCGGGGGCACGGTTTGGAGGTCGAAGTGATTGGATGCTCTTGAACTCATTGCTTGGGACATGTCGTCGATATCAGGATGTCAAGATTGTGAAGGAGTTCATGTTGCCCCTTTGAAAGAGGAAAACAGCTGTGTCAGTGAGGGGAATCTTTCTGTACCAGACCCAATGCTGGCCTATTTTCTCTAACAGCTTTGCACCTCTAGAATTCATGACAAGATTTCCAGTGTCCTGGGTTATGTTAACCCATCAATCTATATAACAACCCGTGATTGGTTGGGGCTGTAGATAAGTCCCTACCACCTACCCCCCGGAAAACTAACATGGAACCTGAGAATTGACTGGTGGAAGACCACTTTCTTTTACAACCCCAGTGTTTGAACCGGGTTCCAGCGACAGTACTGACGCGACAGTACTTAATTGGCGGGTTCCAAGCCACGGACGCTTCGACCTCGTCATGGCGTGGAAGTCCAAAGAAGCGATGGTTTCTCGGCGGACGAAGGGAAACAACAGGAAAGACCCGGCTACCGAAACACATTGAAGAAAGTTTGGCGAAGACCCGGTGTTGTGGTCGAAAGTCCATTCGTGATTCGAATGCCAGAGCAACATCTCTTAAACTTACAAGTTCAATTGAAAGAACCAACACCATCTACGGTGCCCCCCGAGCTCACACATAGTTCGAGCTTGGAACAAAAGTGGCTCCTTCAGAGTTTTTGCAACATTCCACTGTTTGTTTAGACGAAGTTAGTAATGAGTAATGGGCAATCATGGTACGTAACATAATGTAACATATGGGAACCAGACCGTTCAGCCAGCTAGTAGATATACTGGTTCTCC